TATTCTTTTTGGACAGCAATGGCTTCCTCCGTGGTGTCCCCCCATGTACTCCATTCTTGTTTAATGTTTTCCTTATTGTAGATGTGTCAACAAAAATGTTCGCATGTGCCAGAGATTTCTGTAGGTCTTTAGCTGACACTCTGGGATTCTTCTTTACCTCATGCAGCATTCTGCGCTGTGCTCTTGCAGTCATTTTTACAGGACGACCATGCCTAGGGAGAGTAGCAACAGTGCTAAACTTTCTTCATTTGTAGACAGTCTGTCTTACCGTGGACACATGAACATCAGGCTTTTGGAGATACTTTTGTAACGCTTTCCAGCTTCATGCAAGTCAACAATTCTTAATCGTAGGTCTTCTGAGAGCTCTTTTCTGAGAGGCATGGTTCACATCACACAGTGCTTCTTGAAACCAGTAAACCCAAAACAGGTGTGTGTTTTTTTAAGGGCAGGACAGCTGTCAGCAACACATCCAATATCATCACACTGATTGGAGTCAAGGTTGGCTCACTCCTGGCTCCAATTAGCTCTGGGAGAAGTCATTAAGCTAGGGCCTCACATACTTTTTCCTCCCTGCACTGTGAATGTTTACATGTTATGTGCAATTAAACCATGACAACATCTAATGTTTGTGTAGTATTATGTTCAGCAGACTGTGTTCTTCTATTGTTGTGACTTAGATGACGTTCAGAGCACATTTTATGCCCAATTCATGCAAAACTCCACGTAATCCCAAGGGGTTCACATACTTTTTCTTGCAACTGTACATACTGTAAGCCCTGGTTCATGCTGGATCTTAATTTGAAATTGTGCGACTTCAAGTTTGAGTGGCAGTGCAACTTTATCCACAGATATCTACGCAAGTTGCAACACAAATTGGCAAAAGTAGTGCAAGAACTACTTTTCAAAGCAGTGCAACTCCAATGAAGTCAGAGTTGCACCGAATAGAACAGTTCCATTGGATGTGATTTGTCATGCAATTTGAGCTGTCAAATCGCATGACAATTAGCATCAGTGTGAACCAGTTGTAACTGTCAAATATTAGAGTGCTACAAAAAAATACTACATTTATGAAATTCTACATAGGTATTCAAAACATGTTTGTGAAAATACATAACACATTCCGTATTGTTAAAATAATTAGTGTACCATCACTAGAATAAATACAGTTTGTAAGATTTAGTACATGCACTTCTAACTGCCTATGCAGAACGTTTTCCACTTAAAATGATAAATGTGTAACAAACAGATTTACAAGGAATTGCCATTTTATAGATAATGTGTACATGTACAGAACTTAGTAACAAACTAGCCAAATGTATGCATAGAATCCTTTGTTAACATATTGACTATGTTTATTGTTTTATATAAATTATTAATGCTCGCAACATGAAAAAGCCTGTTATTAATATTCATGATTTACTAAAATATATGTTTTAATAATTAACAACAAAAACCATTAGCATCGATTTGCTACATACATGTCAATCAGAATGTATCACAATCAAAGGACATAAGATGGATGGATTTAAAAATGAATAGTTTATATAATTGATAATTGTTAAAAGGGCTAACCTCACCGAGTTAAGCGAAAGACAATAATTCCAGGCAGTTATAATTTACTGACCAACCAGAGTAACATCAGAGGCTTGTACTCGGATCTCACAGAAATAATTCTTACTAACGTTGGTACTCATTGGAGAGGAGTCCCGGCACCCAACGCTGCACTTGTGTTACTTCCGTCAGGTGGAAAGATCCTGCTCAGCAGAGAAGCAGCTTTGCAGGAGTGGATGCTTAGGTAATTAAAACTACTGAACCCCTATTCTGAGTTTAAATGGAAAAATACACTATATTGACAAAAGTATTGGGAGACCCCTCCAAATCATTGGATTCAAGTGTTCCAATCACCTCCATGCCCACAGGTGTATAAAATCAAGCACCCAGGCATGCAGACTGCTTCTACAAACATTTGTGAAAGAATGGGTCGCTCTCAGGAGGTCAGTGAATTCAAGCGTGGTACCGTGATCCATGCAATTTCCTTGCTACTAAATATTCCACGGTCAACTGTTAGTGGTATTATAGCAACTGGGAACAACAGCAACACAGCCACAAAGTGGTAGGCCATGTAAAATGACAGAGCAGGGTCAGAGCATGTTGAAGCGCACAGTGCGCAAAAGTCGCCAACTGTCTGCAGAGTCAATTGCTAAAGACGTCCAAACTTCATGTGGTCTTCAGATTGGCACAACAGTGCGTAGAGAGCTTCATTGAATGGGTTTCCATGGCCGAGCAGCTGCATCCAAGCCTTACATCACCAAGTGCAATGCAAAGCGTCAGATGCAGTGGTGTAAAGCACGCCGCCACTGGACTCTTGAGCAGTAGAGACGTGTTCTCTGGAGTGAAGAATCACGATTCTCTGTCTGGCAATCTGATGGACATGTCTGGTTTTGGTGGTTGCCAGGAGAACGGTACTTGCCTGACTGTATTGTGCCAAGTGTAAAGTTTGGTGGAGGGGGGGGGTTATAGTGTGGGGTTGTTTTTCAGGGGTTGGGCTTGGCCCCTTAGTTCTAGTGAAGGGAACTCTTAAGACGTCAGCATACCAAGACATTTTGGACAATTTCATGCTCCCAACTTTGTGAGAACAGTTTGGGGATGGCCCTTTCCTGTTCCAACATGACTGAGCACCAGTGCACAAAGCAAGGTCCATAAAGACATGGATGAGCGAGTTTGGGGTGGAGGAACTTGACTGGCCTGCACAGAGTCCTGACCTCAACCCAATAGAACACCTTTATGATGAATTAGAGCGGAGACTGTGAGCCAGGCCTTCTCATCCGACATCGGTGCCTGACCTCACAAATGCACTTCTGGAAGAATGGTCAAACATTCCCATAGACACACTGCTAGACCTTGTGGACGGCCTTCCCAGATGAGTTGAAGCTGTTATAGCTGCAAAGGGCAGGCCAACTCAATATTGAACCCTACGGACTAAGACTGGGATGCCATTAAAGTTCATGTGTGTGTAAAGGCAGGCGTCCCAATACTTTTGGCGATATAGTGTATGTTTTTCTACTTGAAACTACAAACTGACAGTGTCCTACCAGAATACAGACTCTATACATAGTAAGTGCTGTAATGCTGGAACTCGCTGTCACCAACGATGGAGGTTAATAGCTGCACCCCCTGACACCAATACTAGGGTTTATTTCTGCACCTATTGACACCAAAGCTGGTGGTTTATTGCTGGATCTAATGACATCGTTGATGAAAGTTTATTGTTGTGCCCACTGAAAACCAATAAGTAGGGTTTATTGCTGCACCCACTGATACCAATAATGAATGCTTATTGCTGCACCCACTAACAGCGATGGTGAAGGTTTATTGCTGAACCTGCTGACACCAGTGATGAGGGTATATTGCTGCACCCACTGACACAGAAAATTAGGGTTTATTGTTGCACCTGCGGACACCAATGATGAGGGTTTTTTGCTCCAACTATTGACACAAATTATGAGGGTTTATTTCTGAACCCACTGACACCATGGATTGGGGTTTATTGCTGCTCCCAGTGACACCAATAACTGACATTAATAATGATGGTTTATTTCTCTAACTATTGGCACCGATGACGTGGGTTTTCTGCTGCACCCACTGAAACCAATGATGATGGTTTATTGCTCCAAATACTGACACCAATGATGAGGTATTATTGCTACACCCACTGACATCGATGATGAGGGTTTATTGCTGCTCCCACTGACACCATTGATTGGGTTTATTGCTGCTCCCACTGACATCAAATACAAAGGTTTATTGCTGCACCCACTTACAACAATAATGGATTATTGATGCACCACTGACACCAAGGACAAGGGTGTATTCTGCACCCACTGACACCGAAGATGAGGGTTTATTGCTGCACCCACTGACACAGATGATGACAGTTTATTGCTGCACCCAATTACACTGATGCTGAGGGTTTATTGCTGTGCACCACTGACACTAATGATGAAGGTTTATTGCTGTATCCACTGACACCAATGACGAGGGTTTATTGCTCCAACTACTGACACCAATGATAAGGGTTTATTGCTCCAACTACTGACACCACTGATGAGCGTTTTTTGCTGCATTAACTGACACCAATGATGACGGTTTATTGCTGCACCAGTTGATACCAAAGATGAGGGTTTACTGCTGCACCAACTGACACCAATGATGAGTTTTTGTTTGCTACACCCACCGACATCAATAAATAAGGGTTTATTGCTGCACCCACTGACACCAAAGAGTGTTTTTTTTCTTTTTGCAGTACCCACTGACACCAAAGATGTTTTTTTTTTTTGCTGCACCCACTGACAGCAATGATGAGGGTTTATGGCTGCACCCACTGACACTAATGCTGGTGGTTTATTACTATACCTACTAATACCAATGCTGGGTGTTATGGTTACATTCAATAGGGTGAGTTTGGTGACAGAAGAAGGCTGGAGGTCACAATGCAACCATCCAAACTCTAGTTGCCATTTTTATATAACAGAGCACCCCAAGAACTGGGTCTCTGGAAATAAATATCAAATGTACAGGCACTATAGGTGCTTGAAGTAGTATGTAAAGCTTGTCATTTTCACATGCATATGCAAGAAACAACAAAAAAAGAGTTTTCCTATAACAACCTCCCGCCCGCCATATAGTAATACGACGGACACAAGGTGGTTCTCTCAATCTGGGAGGATGTCATTTGACGTCCTCCCATTCTAACCACGCATGCACGGCTCCCGTAGCGCGCAGCACGGCGATCGGTGGTGCGCTGTGTCCCTCGGACACAGCTGATCACATGTAAACAGGGAAATGCCGGTTACCTGCATTTCTCTCCCCACGAAATGTCACGCTGACAGCTCGTGAGGAGAGGAGAGCTGGTAATCGGCATTCCTCAGAGGGGACGTGTACACAGATCATTAGAGCACTGATGATCAGTGTGCCCTGATGATCTGTGTAGCCCCAGCAGCGCCACCTGTCAGTGTCCATCAATGCCAGCTCTCAGTGCTCATCCATGCCACCTGTCATAGCCCATCAGTGCCACATTTCAGTGCCCATCAGTGCCACATCAATGTCACATATCAGTGCCCATCTGAGCTGCCTTTCAGTGTCACCTATCAGTGCCAGTCAGTGCCACCTATCAATACCAGCCAGTGCCACTTATCAGTGCTGCCAATCAGTGCCACCTATCAGTGACAGTCAGTCATCAGTGTGCATCAGTGCCTATCAGTGTGCATCAGTGCCACCTATCAGTGCCCGTCAGTGCTGCCTATCAGTGCCGCCTAACAGTGCCAGTCAGTGCCACCTAACAGTGCCTGTCAGTGCCGTCTATCAGTGCCAGTCAGTGCTGCCTATCAGTGCCACCTATCAGTGCCATATATGAGTGCTGCCTTTCAGTGTCCATCAGTGATGCCTGTCAATGCCCATCAGTGCCACCTACCAGTGCCTCCTCATCAGTGCCCATCAGTGCCACCTATTAGTGTCAATCTGTGCAGCCTATCAGTGCCCATCACTGCAGCCTCATTAGCGCACATTAATGAAGGAGAAAAATCACTTATTTACAACATTTTATAACAAAAACTAAGAAAAAAATTTTCAGTGGTTTTTGGTTTAAGAAAAAATAAAAAAACCCAGAGGTGATTAAATACCACCAAAATAAAGCTCCATCTGTCACAAACAAAGGAGAAAAATTTCATATGGGTACAGTGTTGCATGACCGCACAATTGTCATTCAAATTGCAACAGCGCTGAAAGCTGGAAATTGGCCTGGGCAGGAAGGGGGTATAAGTGCCCTGTAGGCTAGTGGTTAACAAACAGCATATACATTGCTCAGGGAAGTACCGAATATAATACATAATGCAGTCACATAGTTTTTTTTTATAATCTGTCAAATTCCTTGTTGAGTTTAATTTTATTGTGGCACTATGTCTCCTGTAATATGACCTTATACTTTTTCAAGAAAGTCAATCAGACCTGACATACTTCAGCAGCTCTTATTAGTGTCTGAAGATTACATTAACTGTACTACTGCTCGAGACGTTAGATATTCATTGTAACAAAAAGTTTTACAAAGTCTCTCTGGAGGAAACGGGTTAAATCACTCCAATTCCCCGGGCAGCTTAAGCTCGAAAAAAGTTTAATCTACCACTGGGAGAATTTACACATTCAAATGCTTATCTATGTCCTTAAGCCTTGAAAGAGATATTTCCTTAACCTTCTACTGAATCATCATTTCCTTAATCCCAGCCCTTCATCCTACCATAAAACATTAAAGGGATTAGTGCCAGAAACCTATATTTCCCTCTGCTCCTAGGCATACATTACATTCAAACAATCTGACATTACATTTTAACAATCTGTAGTGTACCTTTCCAGAAAAAGCCTGAAAGAACCATAATGAGGCTGGATGCGTTCTGTTATAAGCATTTTGATGTTTTTTTTTGTCTTTTAGTCAGTCAATTTTGAAATGATACGGTATATATTTATATTTTGCATTATCAATTCCAGCCAGCAGGTGGCATTTTATGCTACATTTCACATTACCTTCCAGGATATGTACAGAGCTCAATAGTGCAAACTCCAGTATATATACACAATCAAATGTGTCATGGGAGAGACTAATTTTCCCCACCACACACCCCTCCCCGCTTTGCTCAGACAAAGTCATATGGAGATGCAATTGCAGAAAGACAGCCTAAAAGTAAAGAGATTCTGCTCTGAATTCCTGTTAAAAAAAACTCATAAAGCTCTGTGGGGCTATATTATTGGTGTGCCCTGTATTAACGCCTTTATGATGAATGTATGCACAAATGCAGCCTCACTGAAGTGGATCTTCTTCCATGGGGCTGCATATGTGTGAACCTTTGTTTGGTTTGGGAACATGCTGCGGCTACATGCAAACAGCAGCAGCATCAGTCACTGGTTTGTACAAATCTGACAGTCACTGCTGGTTGTACACAGGGTGCGCAGGCAGCATTTACAACCCAACCGCCATCAATTATCTACTGATTCTCAGGGGCCGTACCAGCTACTGCTTTTCAACTATGTGATTGTAGCATTACAGTGTTGATTGGAAGTGTATGTGATTGGGTGAAACTGCAGGAAAGCAAATGGAAGACAGGGATAGAGCGTTGTCACCACCAAACAGGAAGTGCCTGATAAAAACATGGCAGGATGACCAGGTATTACTTTAATGAAAGTTGCAGCTTAAAAACACATTTTAAATCACCTTAACATGTAAAAGATTGATGTAAGATTTTGGTGACATCTACAAGTTTACACCTACTTTAATGTTAATGGATTTTTAATACTGAGATTAAAATATGCATAGGTCATTTAGATATTGCATTGGCGTGTAAGCATGATTATCAGTACAATTTCTGTTAACCAATGATCACAAACATATGAACCATTGAAAATGATACTTAAACGTTGCCAAACCTGAAGCTAATTTTCTGCAACTACACTTCTCAAAAAAATTAAAGGAAGTCTTTGAAAACACATCAGATCTCAATGGGGAAAAATATCATGCTGGATATCTATACTGATATGGACTGGGTAATGTGTTAGGAACGCAAGGATGCCCCATCGTTTGATGGAAATGAAAATTATCAACCTACGGAGGACTGAATTCAAAGACACCCTGAAAATCAAAGTGAAAACATTATGTAGCAGGCTAGTCCATTTTGCTGAAATTTCATTGCAGCAACTCAAAATGGTACTCAGTGATTTGTATGGCCCCCACGTGCTTGTATGCATGTCTGACAACTTCGGGGTATACTCCTAATGAGATGGATGGATGGTGTCCTGGGGTATTTCTTCCCAGATCTGGACCAGGGCATCACTGAGCTCCAGGACAGTCTGAGCTGCAACCTGCCGGCGTTGGATGGACCGGAACATGATATCCCAGAGGTGTTCTATTGGATTTAGGTCAGGTGAGCATGGGGGCCATTCATGGTATCAATTACTTAATCCTCCAAGAACTGCCTGCATACTCTCACCACAAGAGGCCGGGCATTATCGTGCATCAGGAGGAACGCAGTTCCCACTGCACCAGCGTAGGGTCTGACAATGGGTCCAAGGATTTCATCCCGATACCTAATGGCTGTCAGGGTGCCATTGTCTAGCCTGTAGAGGTCTGTGCATCCCTCCTAAGACCATCACTGAGCCACCACCAAAACGGTCATGCTGCACGATATTACAGGCAGCATAATGTTCTCCACGGCTTCTCCAGGCCCTTTCACGTCTGTCACATGTGCTCAGGGTGAACCTGCTCTCATCTGTGAAAAGCACAGGGTGCGAGTGGCGGACCTGCCAATTCTGGTGTTCAATGGCAAATGCCAATCGAGCTCTATGGTGCCGAGCAGTGAGCACAGGGCCCACTAGAGGATGTGGGGCGCTCAGGCCACTGTCATGAAGTCTGTTTCCGATTGTTCAGAGACATTCAAAACCAGTGGCCTGCTGAAGGTCATTTTGTAGGGCTCTGGCAGTGCTCATACTGTTCCTCCCTAGCACAAAGGAGCAGATACCGGTCCTGCTGATGGGTTAAGGACCTTCTACGGCCCTGTCCAGCTCTCCTAGAGTAACTGCCTTTCTCCTGGAATCTCCTCCATGCTCTTGAGACTGTGCTGGGAGACAGTTGCTGCTAGGTGGAAGTGCTAACCACACAGCACAATAAGGAATGGAGACATGGATCGATAGGTGAGTATACGTTGAATATTAAAAATGAAATAAATAGCATTTTTGGTTTGTGGTGCTCAGGTGCAATGTAGCTCTTCTCAGGATATTTTTTTTTTCAAAAGAGTGAATAAAAAATAATGAATAAAAGATAAGAACTCACCCAAAGTTTAAAAAGCAGTCTAGGTATTAAAGTGAACCTTTAGTCGCAAAGTTAAGTCTGGCTAAATCACTTCAGGCTGGCTGCTTTTGCAGGTATAGCTACAGTGGGGATCGAAAGTTTGGGCACCCCAGCTAAAAATTTGTATTAATGTGCATAAAGAAGCCAAGGAAAGATGGAAAAATCTCCAAAAGGCATCAAATTACAGATTAGACATTCTTATATGTCAACAAAAGTTAGATTTTATTTCCATCATTTACACTTTCAAAATAATAGAAAACAAAAAAAATGGCGTCTGCAAAAGTTTGGGCACCCTGCAGAGTTAATATCTTGTACTGCCCCCTTTGGCAAGTATCACAGCTTGTAAACGCTTTTTGTAGCCAGCAAAGAGTCTTTCAATTCTTGTTTGAGGTATCTTTGCCCATTCTTCCTTACAAAAGTCTTCCAGTTCTTTGAGATTTCTGGGCTGTCTGTCACGCACTGCTCTTTTTAAGATCTATCCATAGATTTTCAATTATGTTGAGGTCAGGAGATTGTGAAGGCCATGGCAAAACCTTCAGTTTACGCCTCTTGATGTAATCCCCGTGGATTTCGAGGTGTTTTAGGATCATTATCCATTTGTAGAAGCCATCCTCTCTTTAACTTCAGCTTTTTCACAGATGGCATCAAGTTACCATCCAAAATTTGCTGAAATTTTATTGAATCCATTTTTCCTTCTACTCATGAGATGTTCCCTGTGCCACTGGCTGCAACACAACCCCAAAGCATGATTGATCCAACCCCATGCTTAACAGTTGGACAGAGGTTCTTTTCATTAAATTCTGTGCCCCTTCTTCTCCAAACGTACCTTTGCTCATTCCGGCCAAAAAGTTCAATTTTAACCTCATCGGTCCACAGAACTTGTTTACAAAATGCATCAGGCTTGTCTATATGTTCATTTGCAAAGTTCAAACGATGATTTTTGTGGTGAGGACGTAGAAGAGGTTTTCTTCTGATGACTCTTCCATGAAGACCATATTTGTACAAGTATCTCTTTATAGTGGAATAGTGTACCACAACTCCAGTGTCTGCCAGATCTTTCTGGAGGGATCGTGCAGTCAAACGTGGGTTTTGAATTGTTTTTCTCACAATCCTGCGAGCTGTTCTGTCTGATATTTTTCTTGGTCTTCCAGATCTTGCTTTAACTTCCACTGTTCCTGATGACTGCCATTTCTTAATTACATTCCGAACAGAGGATATTGACATCTGAAAACGCTTTGCTATCTTCTCCAGCTTTGTGAAAATTTTCAGTTTCAGTTTTCTAGACAACTGCTTAGAAGAACCCATGGTGCTGATCAAGGTTCAGATGAGTCTGGGCATTTAAAACCTTCATAACCTGGTCTTCCCAGACGATGATTGAGAACAATCCATGACACTGGCAGGTCTCAACTTTGCAAAGGGGGCAGTGCATGCTATAAATTCTGCAGGGTGCCCAAACTTTTGCAGACGCCATTTTTTTT